CCTAACAAAAACAACAACCTAACTAGCATCTCAATTTTCAGTAACCTTGCCACCAGTAAAAAAGACAACATCATAGACACTAGTGGAAGTCATGACATAAACAAACTTTTTAAAGGTATTAATACTCCCTCTAGCTTAAAGGAGAGCTCTATTAGCCTTAGCAATAAAGACAATAACAGAGCTAACAATATAGCCTCTTTAAGCAATAAGAATAATAGCTTTAATAATAATAGAGATAATAACTCTAACAAGAAGAACAGTAATAATAAGTTTATCTAGATAGTTAATACTTTTACTTTTACTTATAATAAAGCTAGTAAAAGTAACTACTATAGTAGGGCTAGTAATTACTATTGTTCCCTTAAAGATACTATCTTTACTCTTAATAGAGAAATAGCTACTACTTTTAATAATAAGCTTTATAAAAAAATACTTATTATTTTTAATAAGTTCTTTAAAAAAAAATCTAAGTAAAAGAATAATAATACCTTATTTATTATAAATAACGTTATTTATAGTATTAAGGAAGCCTATTAAAGAGCTTAAGATACTAAAATAACTAGTATATTAAGTTAGTTAATAAAGCTACTATCTTACACACAGGTTCTAGTAATACATATATTACATAAAAACAAATATCTTATTAAGTCTATTAATAAATACCTTACTAAACTACAGAAGTTAAGCCTAGTATAAGTTAAAGACACCAGATTTACTAGTAAAGCTACTAATAATACACCTACTATTAAGATACTTCTTTAATAGAAAAAGGGGATTACTATTTAGCAAAATAAAATTAAAGCTAAATTTAAGGACCTTACTATAACTTATAATAAGGCTATTAACTAGTTTTATATTAAAATTAAAGCTAAAAGAAATAGTAATATTACTTAAAATAATATAATTAATTAATTATATAATAAACTTATTATTAAAGTTTATTATAAAATCTTAATTTCTACTAAGCTTACTATAAAATTTAAAGAGTTTAATATAATATCTAATAAGCTTAACGCTATTAACTATAAAACTAATATAATAATAAACTAGCTTTTAATTTAAAAGAATTAAAACAGCTACACTACTAACCCTATTAACTCTTATAATAAGGCTACTACTAAGGGCAATAAGTTAGGTAGAAACATAACTAGTAGTTATAGTAATAATAACCCTTGCTTACTTAACGTTAAACTTTACGCCTTTAGTACTAAGAGTGTTACTAAAGCCTAAAAGGCTACTAACCCTTATACTAAGGCTACTAAGAAACGCAACACTCCTGGTACTACGACTAGTACCCTTACTAAGAAGGCACATACTAACAAGGGCAAAAGAACAAATAGGCTACTAGGGAATATAGATCTATAAGAAATAACAAAAGAAATAAAAGATATAACGGATTACACGGGAAGGCTAATACTAAGTAGGGTCTAGGACTTATAATCTTTATTAGAATTTATAGTATTAAGGCTATAGTAATAGATAAAGGATGGAAATAGATTTACTAATAGGATTAGTAAAGAAAAAGGTAAGTATAGTAATATTTTAGCTAGACTATATAAATAATAACTTTGTGAGATATTACTAGTATAGTAATATCTTAAGGCGAAGAAGGTATATGTTACTCTTGTTAATAGACATAGGAGGTCTACTATTATATAAGGTAAACCTCTTATAAGGTTATTAAGAGAATCAACTTCTTTCACCTCTATCTTTTAGATCCTATCTTTGGTGAAGCAGGTTTACTATATCGACTACAAGGTCTATTAGACTATATAATAGATCTGACCGCTCCTCTAAAGGACTTACCTTACTAAAGGGGTAACAATTACTTATATAAAAGGTTTATTTAGCTATATTATATTATTATAGCTAATTATTTATTTCTTTATTTTTTTAAAGAATTCTACTTTTTTTAAGTCTTATTTATTATAGTTTCTTAAGGTTAAGCTTACTCTTATATTTAAAACTAAGTTTAATTAAGTTAAAGATATTATTTTCTTTATATCTTTTTAATAATATATTTTATTAATCAAAGCTATTTTTAAAATACTAATATTAGATTTATTATATAATTAAAATAAAATAATAAGAAGATTAGTAGTTTAATTTTACTATAAGGTACTATTAAAACTACACTAAACACTAAGGTCCTAGTATTATTATAAGTATACCTAGAGTAACTAATTACTCTAAGTAATTACCTTAACGCCTAGACTATAAGATACTACTTTTTTCAAGTCTTTCTTAGCTTAATTAAGGCTATAAACAAACTAGAAAAGTGTATCCTTTATGTTTTATAATCTGTTTAGATTTGCTCTTATTATTAAGTAGTATATATATATATATTATAATCTTTAAAGGAGAATATCCTTCTAGACCTTAGAGGTCTAGTTAGGCCTAAGAAAACAAAGTAATAGTTACTTATTATATGTGTTATTTAGATATTAAAGTAATAAATTTGTTTATATTTATCTAAGTGCTTGTCTAAAGATATCAAGCTTATTTGTCTGTTTTATGATTAAATATTAATTTCTGTAATAGTATTTGACTAGAGTCCCTTTTTGTACTTAGAAGGGTCCTGCTTAGTCATGTCTGATTAGGCCTGTGATTATGTTTGTAGGCTAATAAAAGGAAAAATAAAAACGCGAAACCCTGCCCTTTTCTAGTAGTAGTAGTAGTAGATATAATAGTAGTAGTAGAAGAGCTAGGGGCTAGTAGAGACGTTATTAAAGTTAAGTAGTAGTAGTAATGTTAATAGTAGTAGTAGTAGTATAACAAAAAAAGAAAAAAATAATAATAAAGTAAAAGTATTTATAAAAAGAAAAAAAAAAAAAAAAGTAAAAAAAAAAAGAAAAGATATTAATAATAAAGGGTTATTAACTTAGCTAAATAAATAAATAAAAGTAAATTATAATTATAACTTTAACTTATAAAGATTAGTTAATTTAATTAAAGAAAAAAAAGTAAAAGGGTACTAGTAAAAGACTAGTGTTTTATTTAATAAATAAAACTTAATATTATAACTATTATAAGAGTAATATAACTTAAGGCTTATAACTTAAAGAAATAAAGAAATAGCTTAAGTATTAGCCTTATATTTTAAGGGAATAATAAAAGAACTTAAAGCTATAAAAAAGAAAAGTATATAAAAAAGATAAAAGAGGTTATATATTAAAGGTAAATAAGAGGTCTTTACTATAAAGTAAATAATTCTTATATCTAAAGACTAGGGGATTAGAGGCTTATGCCTTAAATCTAAGGTAGTTAAACTTAACTATAAAGTAGTATAAGAAACTATTAGCTAGGTTAAGAAGTAGTAGATATAAGGGTAAAGCTAAGAGGAAGTAATTAGCTAGAGAGACGGTTGTTAACCTAGTAGTCTGTTAAAGCCTAGAAGAGTTCCTAGACTCTTCTAAAATACAGGAGCTAATAGGTAGAGTAGTAGAGGGGTAGTGGGGATACCCTTAGAGGTCCTAGGGACAGGACTTCGGGGGGGGGGATCATGTTAGGCGCCTAGAGGGGGGGGGGGGGGGGGGGGGGGGGGGGGGGGGGGGGGGGGGGGGCACCGGCGTAGCACTAGTAGGGCTGTTGACGGGGTAGCTAGGGGCTGCACTGGTATATAGTCAAGGGATTATAAAGGGATTCTAGTTACGCGGCTAACACAGACTCTAACAACAAAGGTTAGCTATTAAGACTAACGTTAAAGAAAGGCAATAGTATAATGCCGCTGAATTAGTGTTATAGCCAGGGGAACTGGGCTTAGTTAAGGGGGGGGACCTGGGGGGCATATAAGGAGCAGCTGCGGCAGACCTAGGGGAAAAGGCAGATTGGAATAACAGTCAACACCCACCCCTACCTGTGCCCATCGCCGACCTCGTTACTCTGTACGACTCCAGCCTCTGACATAAAGTTACACAGACTACAGGACAAACATCATATTTCAGAAGACCCAAAGCCATTTTTATTTCCGAGCAGCCTATTATACTCGATCAACCATAAAAACTGTATTTTGCAATTGGTCAAGAAATGGTGGATGATAGCAACGGACGGCATAGAATCTCGCTCAAAAGCTTAGTTTGAGCACGCTGCCACTTCGAGTGTATCCGGTGTTTCCTATCAAATTTAAGTGTTGAAACAACATTATTACTGATGAGCAATGCAACAAATGTGGGTGAGCTGGAAATGATGGAGCCGGGTTATTTCTTTAATTTTGATTTTTGATTTTATTTACTTAAAGATGTTCTATCTAAGAGCCTAGAATCGTCAATGGAATTTTTGTTCAGTTGAAGTTGTCAGTGGCTTTAGCGTGCAAACAGGCACAAGTGTTCCCAGACCAAATAACCCAAAACTTTGTTCCTTTGCTTTATCCAATCGGGCCGGTAAGAATCATACACATGCAGTCTTGTCTGGCGGCAATCAATCCACTGGATGGTATCACATCTCCGACTTTTTTCTTCCGAGTCATTTGCTCAGTGCATCAATATTTTCTTTCTCTCAGCACAAAAAGAATTGGGCAGAAGTTTTATTTCTTTGTCTCTTCAAGACACGCTAATCAATGTCAAGCCAAGGGCGCAGCCAGATTGTGGGCTTGTCACTAGAGATGACCAATAATTTAGCTTCACCAGGGGTGGCATTGACAAAAGACGTGCTTGACAAGGTGAGAAATGCCCTTACTCGTTAGGCAAAGGCTAAATGCGGCGCGGTTTGACGCGCCCTGTAGGTGGAGATTTAAAATTACAGCGACGTGTCTTCCAGAACAGTCAATTGACAAGACATTTGGGCCTGTCCTGTTAGCAGAAATGTCGGCAGCTCTGCGAAGCGTGAGGTGTGTACAAAAGATCCTGTCAGCCAGACCGTGGTCTTCTTTGACAAATAAACCAATTCTTTCATTTACATCTATCATTGGCCTAAAGCATCAAACAATCCTCTCATTCGCCAATCACCACACTACCGGCGATCCCTATCATTCAAGGGTGTTTTCGTCCTCAACGTTGACAGCCATGGCACACTCCACGGAAAGTCGGGAAAGCAACCACCGGACAACAACTATCAGACCAGCCAGCCTCGCTGATGCCACAGCAATCGCCGAACTTGGCGTGCACGTCTTTTCGGTCACGTTTGGCCATTCAGTAGAGCCGCACGAACTCCAAGCGTTCCTCGACGAGTCTTACAGCCTCAGTGCGATTAGCAAGGATCTCAACAACCCTAACAAAGACACCATTATAGCCACCGATTCGAACGGTGATATTCTGGGCTTTGCGATGCTCACACGGGGCTCATCAGAACCGTGCGTGGCCCACCTTGATGGAAGCGTCGAGCTGCAGCGGATATACCTGTATCCCAAGGCCCACGGCACAGGCGCTGGCAAGCTCTTGGCGGGTAGATTGGAGGAGATGGCTAGGGACCAGGGATATGAATACATTTGGTTGGGTGTCTGGGAAGAAAATTTTCGGGCGAAGAAGGCGTATGAGAAATGGGGATACAAGACATGCGGTACTCATGATTTTGTTGTTGGTTCTGTGGTTCAAACGGATGACATCATGGTGAAGAAGCTTTGAATCCATGCCATGTAGTAGCGATTACTTGTGGAGAGCAATGAAAACTCATGTAGTCGGACAACGCGTATTGCGGCTATACTCGACCTGGGATGCCTAAATGGGTCAAAATGACTAGGAAGTCATGGCCTATGGGCTGCAAAATTAGATAAAGAATGTCGGAAAAACTGTGTTCAATTCGAAAAAACTTCGGGTTTGGCGAGATAAATGAATGGACAAAGCTGCGAGTTGATAGAAGAGACCGAGTCATGCTGCTGACTTAAAATCGTCAATCAGGACTACTTCTTATTTCATCTTCCAGTCATGTTCTAAGCTCCAAGCGTAGGCAACTCGATAAACATCCTCTTCGTGCCACCACTTCCCGATTAACTGCATGCTCACAGGTAGCTTTGTCCCTGAATCTTTGAGGAGGCCCTCCTCTATTGGTAGCATGCCAATCGGCATCGCCAGCACTGGGTGTCCAGATTGGTTGAAAGGTGCGGTGTTGGCAGTGAGTCCGACTTGTTTCCCTATCTTTTCTAAAGGCGATGCATTGTAAGGGGTATGAGAGTTGGCGATATAAGGCAAGTTCGGTGTTACAAGAACATCAAACTGTGAAAGTGCGGCATCGTAATCATCGCGGAGCTTCCTACTGAGGTTCGTCGCCTTACCAAGTAGTCCTGGAAATGCGGCTTGTGCGTAGACTCCGTTAAGGTAAATGTTCTTGGACGAGACATAGGCGTTATCCCACTGGTCCTGCGTCAAGGTCTGGAACTTATCGGTCAAGTCGGTCATGACATGGCCCCTTCTGCCAAAGGCCAGGTTTCTCTTTGCGAGATATCCCCCAGTCTTGCTGATGGCGGTCCAGACCGCCGCCCCATTTAAGTGAAAAGGGATCGATACTTCTTTGACGGTCGCTCCGAGTTCACGGAAACCCTGAATTGCAGCTATGACACACGCTCTGACTCGTGGTTCGACGGATGGTTGATCCATGCCTTCGACCAGAATGCCGATCTTGACATCTGACAAATCTTTTGGGTTTTTCAACCTGATCAGGTTCTCGTAATATTTAGGAATATCTTCGGGGGTAGGTGCAGCGAAAGATCTGTCATCAATTTTGTCGTTCCCCGCAATGACCTGGAGCATTAGTGCATTGTCAAGCAACGTTCGGGTCATGGGTCCAACGTGGTCATTCGTTGGCTCATTGGAGCCGCAAGCTGTGTATGGTACTAGTCCAAACGTCGGCTTCAGACCGTACAGCCCACACCAGCCGGCCGGGACACGGATTGAACCTCCTTGGTCTGCACCAAGAGCCATATCAACATCTCCGTTAGCAACAAGCGCACCTGAGCCACTTGAGCTGCCGCCACTGCTGTAGCCCTTTGCGTACGGGTTGTGAACATGCCCAGTCGAAGACGAACTACTTGTCGCTGAGTGACACATGTTCTCGCATACGGACTTTCCTGCAATGACTGCTCCAGCTTCGAGTAGCCTGGTCACACAAGTCGCGTCTGCATTCTATCAAGCCAAGTCAGCCTGGTGACTCAGCGGTTCACTTGACGGAAAATACTGACCGGAACATAGTCTTTGATAAAATCAGTACCCAGAAGCATGGGTACACCTTTCACAGCGATATTATCCTTTACGGCGATCGTTTTGCCTGCAAGCAAGCCACCCTCCTTCGTTGTGTCCTCCACACGGCAGCGCCACGCCCAAGCTCCCAAAGTGTTTTCTGAAGGCTCAGGAAATTTGACCTCTTTCCTGGGAAATCTTTCCTCGTCTACCTGTGGCACATAATCTAAGAACGAGGATATTAGCGTATTGTAATAGCTCACCAACGGGTCGCATACCAGGAAGTGACATCAGTCCCACAACAGACTCGTGGAACACAGCAAGTAGTCTTTGGTATTCATCCTTCTCTTCTTCTTTCATGGAAACCCCAAGAGTCGTTAAGGTTTCGTCAAGGACCGCTCCGGTTACAGGGTTGGCTTTTGCCACCTCCAAAGAAAAGACAGACATGATGTTGTACCGGTATTGCTCTTAAAACGCAGTCTTTCGCCGTACCGAAAAGCCAACTTATACGGAAGCTGTACAGGTCTCATTTCCAGGTATCCAGTAATATAGAATCCAGTTTACCCCTTTCCGAATGCGAGAGTACCGGTGGTACAAAGTCAAGATAAGGAAAATCCCTCCACCGCGGCAAAACAGCCCAAGATTCTTATCGTTATCTTCGGGCCCATTGCTGTTTATCATTGGGCTCTTTGTGCATGCGATTCCAACTTCAAAGCGTCGGAGACAATGAACCGATAGATCAATGCAGCTTGATCATCCCCGCGATTGCCTTATCTCGGGAAGGATCTTCCTACTAGCCAGTGTACCCCACAGGACATCCGTCCCATTACGATAACGGACACATAGTTTCGGAGGATCTAGCCTGGCTTCCGATTCAATTCATTGAGCCGACCTCAAGGAGTCCTCCTATATGCATGAATGTTCCAACGTAAATAAACCCCTCATGTTTTCTGTCTTCAAGGCGAGAACCCAACCTCGATGCCATTGCCTCTGTTGATCTCCTGACGGCTTTTTCATTTTAAACAAAACAGAAACCAACTCAGCCTTCTCACCATGGTGCATGTTGAAGAGAGTCTTCAAATACCTCGAGACTTTGAGGGTGAGTATTGATATCGTGCTTTTGACTGCATACGCTCAAAACCATCTTCAAGGGTTTGGCGAGGAGGGGTTCGACCCTAATTGGCCCAACGGTGCTCGTATCGCTGTCTCCTTTGTTCTCAACTATGAGTAAGTCTTCAGTACTTTCTATCGGTGGTTATGAAGCTGATGAGGTTGCCAGGGAAGGTGGCGAGCGCAGCATCTTGGACGGTGATGCTTTCTCAGAGCCATACCTCTGGGAAAAGGGCTCATCCGGAGGCTATAAGGAAGGTGCTAGGTACTTGAACGCTGAGCAAGACTTCGAATACGGAAGCCGCTCAGCGTCATGGCGCCTTACTCGGCTCTTCCAAGAGTTCGGGTGGACCTTCACCACATATGCAGTGGCATACGCACTGAAGCGTAACCCAAGCTTTGCAAAGGCTTTAGTGCGAGATGGACACGAGATTGCCTGCCATGGACTTAGATGGCTGGATATTTGGGACTACTCACTCGAAGAGGACAAAGACTATATCAAGAAGAACATCTTGATGATCAAGGAAGTTTCAGGTGAAATGCCCGTTGGCGCCTACTTTGGGCGTGGAACCCCCAATACACCATCCTTGTTCCCGGAAGTCTGGAAGAGCCTTGGGGGCGAGTTCCTGTGGTCTTCGGAATGCTACAACGATGACGTGCCCTATTGGCTTGACTTGCCTTGGGAAAAGGACTTGCCAGAGGAGAAGAGGGAGGGCATGCTGCTCATTCCCTACAATTACGATTGCAATGACGGGAAATTCCACATGTCGCCAGGATTCGGTAGCTCCGTCGGCGAAACATACGAGCAGTACTTGAAGAACACCTTCGACTGCCTCTACCGAGAAGGAGGCAAGTTGATGAACATTCCTCTACACACACGCATTATAGGCAAGCCAGGTAGGTCAGAGGCACTGAGGAAGTTCATGAAGTACATTGCAGAAAAGGAAGGAGTTTGGGTAACAACGAGACGAGACATCGCAAAGCACATGAGATCACAATTTCCTTACAAACCAGATAGGAAGTGGATGAGAGGCGCATAAGAATAGAACACGGTTAATTACCAGGGATTTTTTACATTGTCAGAAGCCTCGAAAGGTGTATTAGTGACATCGACGGAAAAAATTTCTACAGTAACTAAATCTTTGGGAGAGAATTAATACAGATTTGGGATGAAGAAATGGCTATGCAATGTGCGGCTCTAGATCATTTGAATTTGATCCCGTGCCTTATTTGCGGAGAAATGGAGGTCGAAGAGCTTCACTGGGAAGCTTGAGAACGGAATGAGATGCAGCTTCAGACGTCCGTTTGTGTCGGAACATCCGATCGAACAAGCTTCGGAACCTCCGAACCGATGAGCTTCGGATGTTGTCCGAGGGGATCCTAGTCAGACACGGACCACGTCCGACGATACCTGCCAACCATATTGTGCGACATCGGCACCGTCGCCGTTACGATCACCAAAATCCGATAAGTATGTATTTCGGATGTCCGCCACGACTTGTTCGAATCATTTCGGAACCTATGCACAGAACACCTCGTTGTCAGTCGATGGAGATAACATCCGACGCCCAACAGTTGGCTTCATCGCCCTTGGTTGCCTTCACAAGTGCGCCAAGCAACCCTAGAAAGAGGGGGAGGACTGCGTGTACAAGGTGCAAGAGCCGCAAGCAAAAGGTATTTGGAAGAGTCCCTAAATGGAGACTTGCCTTTCCTTTCTGATAATGTTATGAAGTGTGACAACCAATTACCCGTGTGCTCCAATTGCCACAAATCAGGAGCGCAGTGTGACAAAGCAGACGTCACTGATGAAGCTCCATCAATTGCGTGAGTAGTCATCCGATTTCAATTGTGTTGACATGTACTTAGCCCGATGCAGATACACGAGAGCTTTAGAAGCGCGACTAGTCTTTTTGGAGCGCAAACTGACCCAGATCACCGCGTCAAAAGCAACATTAGAGCCGAGAGATGATGCGAGCACCTCCCCAGTCACGTCAAGTAGAGATTGCAATGCTCTTAGTGAAGCCGATGCACATGTATCAACAGGGAACCTGGAGGCGCCTGCTTATGTTGGTCCTTCATCGGGGATGCCCCTAGCCTTGAACCTTGGCGAAATGGTACAGGCCACAGTCTGGAGCAAAATGTTACCGGACATTCAGGATGGGACCATCAATAACCAGGCCAATTGTATCAATCCAAGTCCAAGAAATGCCACGGTGGAAGGCATGCTGACTCATAACGTTAAAGAGCCGCCAACTGACGAGCAAGGAGCAAAGATGTTAAAGGCATATACATCACAACTGCACTCAAAGTACCCCTTCTTAGAACCTGAGGAGCTGTGGAAGTTGCACAATCAACGGAATGCACTGGCCGTAGCGCCGATGCAGAATCTGACCAAAGCTGAGCGGTTTGGTATATTTAAGCTATATCTCGTTTATGCAATAGGTGCAACTTTAGTTCAACTTACGCAACGAGGGCCGAGTTGCTCCCCGGAGGTACGTGGTCGCTTTCGTGCCTTACACTTTTAGTTTCTAGTCCGTTGACGTCCCTTGTCCAGTCCTTATACATAACAGCAATTGAACACACATCCTTAGCCAAGGAGTCAAGGACCCTTCAGAGCATTGAAGCAATGACACTACTGGTTGTGTTTCACCTTCGATCCGCCTCCAGTCATGGTTTGTGGTACATGGTTGGCCTGGCAATGAGGACATCCATCGATCTGGGTCTCCATCGCGCTGCACACGAGCAGAATCTTCCTGCATCCAATGTTCAAAGAAGACGCAGATTGTTCTGGTCAGTCTATTCTTTGGAGAGAACCATCGCAACATCGCTCGGACGCCCCTTGAGTATCGCGGACAATCAGATTGATGTCGAGCTTCCAAATGCCATCATCAACGAGACCCTGACTGCATCTGATATCGTTGGAAACGACATTAAGCTCGCAGTAATCCTCTTCAAGCTCCGTCGTATAGAATCCAAGATCCATCATTCAGTCTACCGCACAGACAAGGCACTCGACGCTCTACGACCGAAACTCGACCGGTTGTATCAGCGTCTTCAATCGTGGCGGGCTTCGTTGACGGAGTGGATCCCAGAGGCACACCCGGACATGAATTATGCATTGTTGCTCTACAATCGCGCTTTGAGACTTCTCATCCAACCCTTTCTACCAATTTTACAAGCTTCGGATCCCTTCTATCGACTCTGCATGCGAGCAGCTGGTGACTACTGTCAAACCCACAAAAGGCTGCACCAAACCTTGGATTACGGACATAGTTTTATCGCAGTGCAGACAGTGTTCGTTGCCGGAGTAACCCTGCTCTATGGTCTGTGGACGCAAGGGAACACACTGTGGTCTGTGGCTCTTTCTAATGACATCCGGGCTTGTTCACTAGTGCTCTTCGTGATGAGTGAAAGAGCTCCATGGGTCCGCAAGTACCGTGACGCTTTTGAGGTCCTTGTCAACGCCGCTATGGAAAAGCTACAAGACAACGAATCTGGCCTTGCAGAGATGGCTTCGGCTCAGATGCGGGCTGAGAGAGCGACGGGCACTGGCATCAACGTGCAGAATGCGGATCGAAGGAGGGATGGAGTCGTGGCCCAGGCCTCTGATAGCCTCGAAGACGTTCTGGCATCAGACCACGGAGGCTTTGGTCTTGGGGAGTTTGAGGGCGCTTGGCCAATGGTCGCTGAACTCGCAAACTGGATCGATCAAGATGCCGGAAGCCCAATCTGGATGCCTAACTTCGAGCTATTGCAGAGTCTTTCAGGTGCTTGGAATGATTGATGGGGAAAAAAGGACCACATATGAATGCATACATTTTCAAAAAAGGGTATAAAAGGCAAAACGACGAAACTCCGAAAGACCTTTCCGGCGAAAGGTTATTGTAGTGAAACAAGTTACTTTCATTACAAAAAACGTTCAAAAGCGATTTCAAAAGAACTGCACTAGCAATCTACATACCTCCATCATACAGAAGGTTTATCATCGATAGAGTTTACACCAGGGATCTTTCCAATTCGTGGGCTGATATCGGCACCATCAACAACCAAAAATACTCCACGAATAGTCTCAACACCTTCTCCAGGAAAAAATCCCTCCGTTGCCGCCATGCTTTCAAACTCTATGGACATCTCTGACTCCAGCCCAGTTGGATAGACTTGCACTGGCCATATCAGGCAAGCTACATAGTAGACCAATGAGCCCATAATGAGCGAAAGTAAAAACCCCAGTTTGTACATGTTCTTACTTGCCTCATTAACGGAGTTCGGGTCCAGGTTTCCAGCAATACCGTGGACGGTAAACACAACACCAGAAATCCACGCTACGATAGCTCGTACGTTCCATCCTTTGAAGTAGGTGTACGGAGAACTTCCAGCATCAGTGTAAAGACTTGGGACGTGGAAATTGCCTCGACGTAAGACCCAATAGTCTACAATCATAATCTTGAGACGCCGTCAGCCTTGTTTATCTGGGCTATGGTGAAACAAATTTCACTTACCCCACAGGTCGGCATTAAGAATACAGTGTAGGACCCCAAGAATGTAAGAAAAGAGCTGGCGCTGGCAATGATCTTCCATGGAACGCAAAGAGGTGCAAAAAGTGCACAGATAACCTGGCCTCTGACGATGTTGATGTATCTGGGCCAGAGACCACTGATGTCGGCACCGACTGGCAAAGAGTTTGAGCCGGCATTGGTCGCAATAATAGCAAGAATCATGCCCTTGAAATATCAAGTCAGTGTCAGTGGAAACGCACTTTGTAGGGACGGCTTACAGTTGAAGCAAAGAACATTCCAGCTCGGGCCCCAGGACCCCAGTACTCTGTTAATATGGCATTGTACAAGTCCCAGACATTCCAGTAGCTCTTTCCGAGAACGCCAGAAGCCGCGCTTGTTGTTGCACAGCTCAGGAACATAACAAGTACTTTACTAACCAAGATACCTGTTGCCTGCGACCAAGTCGCTTGCGCGGGCCGTGTGGCATATCGAGCAACGTCGGGCTGATTTACCAGAATTGGACACAGTGCAGCCATAACGCTGTTTATGGCTTGAATCATTGGCCAAACTAGGGCAGCACCGCTCAAACTTTTCCCGCCAAAGTCGAAGTTTCCCAGGTTTCCTCCGTTCATGTGAACAGCCCATCCGAGAACTCCAAACAGACCTGCTGTTGTCGCTACAGATTTGATGACAAAGAGGTGTCTTAGGATGGTTGGGTGGATGAACATGACGGGAAACTGAATGATCCAGAAGATGAAGAACGCGAGCAAGTTCTTGGAAGTTATTCCAGCACCAACTGGCAAGCGATTCATGATGTTTTCCCAGCCAGACCCAAAGATGGCACGTAACGCCACTGAAATTAGCATACCTCCATAGAAGGACTGCGTTGCGAAGTAGATGACCGCGACGGATGCTCGTACGATGATGAACAACTTTGCGCCATTTACACCAGCGGCAGCCCGAACGTATACGGGAAAGCCCACGTGATATCGGGTCGCACCACGAGAGTTGAGGATGACAACGACACTGAGGATAGCAGACCCTATCACGGCAGCAAGCATGCCATGCCACCATTGCTAATCTTTTGTGAGTAACTGAACTGAGATAAATCAGGCTTCCTCAACGTACCAGACCAATAGAGATTAGGGTCGCCCCAAGGTTGTATGAGCTTGGAGAGAACGTCTGAGTCAAGTAATAAGTGAAAAAATGCAAAGCCGTCCAGGTCCGGTGTTCTGTAAGATGATTAGCTGTCATATTTTGGTTGCATCGATTTACAGTTAGATGATTAGGAAACACACCGAGTGGAGTCGGAAGCAAGTCTTCATTGAAGTAAGCTGGCCCAAATTCTGGATTGTCTTTAGTCTGAATGAACCGCTTAAACTCTTGTTTAGAGGAGACGGCTTTTCTAAGCCTTGTCGCTCTCAACATTGTTGTCAATTACGAAACGGGAAGCCACGGTACACAAGTCTCCTATTAGAAAAGCTGCATGTGAAAACATACCATTTTATTAAGGTGTTGAGGTTACACGTCTGAATTGAAGCGGTATTTATGAGTTTGAGCGCCATTGGTCTTATCGCTTTGGTATACCTTTTCCAACATCACTGTTGTATTACTGTCTAAATATTCCGATAAGAATTAGCTGGAAATCTCTGCATGTAACCGCGTTGCCTTCCTATTGATAACCATGCCAAGTAAAGAATGAATCAGTACGTTTTGCAGGCATAAATGGCGTCGGATATCCGCCGGAATGATAAGACTAGCAGACGACCATCGGCATCGGATCATCCGATGGGTAACAAGCCTATTGTGGGGACGATCGCTTCGAAAATTGCCGAAGCCCCTGTTAGACGTGACGCATCCAGTTTTTATTCAGAATGACATTTGCCTCTCATCAGTGCCACACAATTTTTTGCCGACCCCGGAGCCGAGAAGAGGCCGATAGACCAATCTTTCGACGGCGGTGATCCGAGTCTTGGCTCCCCGGACGCCTGGTATCCGCTCTCAACGTTAGATACTAGTTAAATTTTTTCATACACTAAATTTTACTCAGCGGCTGCACAAAAAACTATCTCAACACTGTTTTTATTTTATTTTGCAACTTGTTTAAAAGTACCCTAACTACTGTTAACATCTAATGCTTTCAATTTCATTCCAACCGATCGTCACCAAGGGCTGAAGCATGAGTAGCGATCTAGAGACGACCACGGCCGAAAAGGCTCTTCACGACCAGACGAACATCCTTCCCCTAAAAAAGCTTCTAGTAGTCTTTGCAACTCTTGCAATCACCTTGTTAGTCTCATTCATTGACCAAAATGGCATCAGCGTTACACTACCCACCATCGCCGCCGACCTCAACGCGGAGGATACCATCTCATGGGCTGGTACCTCGTCGCTCATCGCAAACACGACGTTTCAGATGCTCTATGGGCGCTTTTCGGACCTCTTTGGCCGCAAAGCTGTCTTTCTGAGTGCCATTGGACTCCTGTCCTTCGCCGATTTGCTATGCGGCCTTTCGCAAAATGCGACCATGTTCTATATCTTTCGTGGTATTGCGGGTATCGGCGGAGGTGGCATCACGAATCTCGCTATGATCATTGTCTCTGATGTTGTCACTCTTGAACAACGGGGAAAGTATCAAGGTATCCTTGGGTCGATGGTGGGTTTAGGGAATGTCCTCGGCCCTTTCCTCGCTGCCGCATTCGTTGAAAAGGCAACATGGAGAGCATTCTTTTGGATGCTCTCACCATTGGGGGTCATTGTCGGCATCATTGCATACTTCTTTCTACCATCCAAGCCGCCAGATGAAGGTTTTATGAAAAGCGTCAAGAAAATCGACTATGCTGGCTCCTTCACATCCTCAGCCGGGGTCATCTTATTACTAATTCCTATTTCTGGAGGTACGTTGAAGTTGGTTTTCCTCGGAAACTTACGAATCGGGAACTCGGACATTTACTTACGCACCTAGGCGGTTCATATTTCCCATGGAACTCGGCGATGGTCATCAGCATGCTTACGATTGGGGCTTTCGCTCTTGTGTCTTTCGTGTTTGTTGAGTGGAAGTTTGCAAAGCTTCCTATGATGCCAGGTAGGAATCTCACGAATCCACTCCTTAAACAATAGTCAAGTACTGACCCAACCAAACCAGTCCCGATTTTCAAGAACAAAGTGGTCGTAGTTCTTTTGGCTCAATCCTTTTTATTTGGTGCGGCGTATCAAGGATACCTCTACTATGTCCCTCTCTACCTCCAGAACGCCCATCAGTACTCCGTCATCCAGTCTGCTGCGATATATGTTGCACTAGTTGTGTGCCAGTCGGTATTCTCAATCATTTCTGGACAGTATATTTCCAGAGTCAAGCGTTATGGAGAGGTCATTTGGGCCGGGTTCGGATTGTGGACGTTGTACGTGAAAACCTTAACTTTACTGATTGCTATTTTGACGGCTATTTTGACGGCTGACAAATCTTGCAGAGGCGCGGGACTAACTTTGATTTACGATCGACACACCAAATCTGGAATCATCGTCATCCCTCTGCTGATCATCGGCATTGGCGTTGGCTTCATCTTCCAGCCAACTCTCGTTGCTCTTCAAGCGCATTCTATCAAGTCTCGACGAGCAGTAATCACATCCAACCGCAACTTCTTCAGATGTGCCGGTGGTGCTTGCGGCCTCGCTGTATCTGCAGCAGTGCTGCAAGCAACCCTAAGGGCAAAACTCCCACCAGAGTTTAAAGACCTGGCAAGCAACAGTTATTCGATACCCAAGCTAAGCGATCAGGATATGTCCGTAGTTTTGGATGCATACATGGCAGCAAGCCGTGCGGTTTTCATTCTACAGATACCATTGATCGGCTTGTGTCTGATCGGCTGTTTCTTTATCAAAGACCGAGGTCTGCACCCGATCAATGATGCAAAACTCGAAGACACTTCCAGTGAAAGTCGAGACGAAGAAGAGGGAACTTCGCACGAGAAAACTTCTCCAAACAGCAATTATCATAGAGGCGAACAGATAATGGCGTCTTCTCCTAGGCTTCAACCAGAAAGAAGTGCCAATTGAAACCTCACGATTCATGATGATAACACACGGCATAGAGGGCACAGAAAACTTATAAACTATAGAACATATAGCAAAAAAGACCTAGAGCAACTTACTCGCAACATTTCAACGGCAATCCACGCCCACCATTTAGCAACCATTCCAGTGGCGACTATATCCTGTAGTCGGACTGTGAGGAAGTGTTATGGTCAGATATCCGATAGTGGTGTTTTCTGCTAATAGGCAGCTGAGGTCGATACTTGGTAACAGTAAGGTAAGTCTTGTTGGTAATCTTGCTGGTCTGTTGGTGTCTAGTGATCAGTCAGGCACGTCTAGGCGTAGATAGCTTTATAGCTTTATAATAGAAAGATAATCTAAGAGTTACTTATAAGAGAGTGAATCATGAAGTTAATTGCTAAAGAGCTATAGAAGGTATTTAGTCTAATTAGAATAATTGTTCTTATATCTTATTGTTATTTTATTAAGACTAATCTCTTAAAGTTGGTTTTTGATAAGGATTAATCTTTAGTATATTGGTCTTAGGTTATAGACTACTTATTAGTTATTAGTTTTTTTTATTTTTATATAATTTTTTTTAGTTTTTTTATTTTAAAAGGGGATTAATATATTCTTATGTTATTTTATATATAACCTTATCTTATAACTACTAAGCGCTTATAAAGTAACCTTAGTTATATTATACTTATTAAGTTATAATATTAGGTCTCTTTTTTAAAGGTCTTACCTTTAAGACCTTAAAAGTAGGTTATTTCTCTTAGGTTAAGGAGTTATTAAACTTATTTCTTTATTTATTTGTAATACTAATATTATATTAAGTTATATAAAAAAATTAAAACTAAAAATAAAATCTTAAAAAATAAAGATAAAAGATTATAAGTGTTTTATGCTTTTAGAGTTTATTAAAGCTTATTTTATTATTATTAATATATTTTATATTTATTATTTTTATATAAAAACTATTTATTATTTTAATAAAAGTTTTTTTTATTATTAAAGTTATATTAAAGCTAAAAAGCCTTATAATAGTGTTTTAGTAGCTTTTATTTATAAGTATTTTTTAATTAAGTATAGTCTTTTTTTATTTAACTTTTGTTTATAGTATAAAAATTAAATGCTTAATAAAAAGAATAAAATAAGAAAAAAGAGGTAATAAGTAAAGAGCTTTTAAGGCTTTATAAAAAGCTTACTTAATTATAGTTTTTAATAGCTATTATAGTTAGCTACTTATCTAGGATTTAGAAAACCTAGAAACTTATTTATAAGCGTTAAGCTAAAACTTTTTATTATAATATATAAGAAATTAATAAGTTTAATGCTTTTAAGTTAGTATTAGATACTTATAAACAAGGAATAGTAAAGGAGTTCTAGTTTATATAGGTGCTTAATAATATAGACTAGTTCTTATATAGGCTTAGTAATAAGTTCTTAGACTTAGGGCTATTAGTATAGGTATTTAGGTCTAAAGTATTTATAAGTTATAATAGTCTTAGAGTAGCTATTAAGAGTACTAAAGGTTCTTAACTAGTTTTTATAAGTTATTTTTATATTTATATTTTTTTTATTTAATAAGATATTATATTTTTTTTATTTTTTTTTATTTATTAATAATTTATTTAATTTTATATTTTAGTTTATTTAGTTCTATAATAATATAGTTATTAGTATTTAACTCTTATAGTACTAGTTTAAATAATATAATATAAAAGACTAGATAGATCTTTATTATGTTTAGTAAGTTAAGTTTAAAGTTAACGTTTAAGACTTTCTGAATGATTTTAAAAGATCTAAGTTTTTTATAGTCTAATTTATTACTTAGTCTTTTTGTTTTAATATTATATTATAAAAGATATACGTTATTTTCCTCTTTAAAGGTTAATTTCTTAACTCTTAATGTATTAGTGTATTTCTTTATTTATACTTTAATAAATTTAAGATCTTTAGTAGTATTCTCTTAGATTTCTTGTAATTTATTATAATCTACTATAGCCTTTAGTGCTTATAGTTC